TATTTATTATTAGCATTATTCTTCCGACGTCTGATTTCTTTTTAATTATAGGAAATGCGTTTTTCTAAGGTACATAAACTTTTAGAATTAACTGGGAAATTAATTTGGGAAAGAGAGAAATGTGCACAGTGTTTGCTCAGATATGTTCTCTCGTGACGGCGGGTAACTATAGAGTAAGAATCATATTCCACGCACTATTTACAATCACAGAGCATGATTTCATGTCGGCAGGTCCTGCCCGGTCTCTACATTGGTAATTATCACGACAGTAAAGACTCCGATCAATTAGAGCGGTTCGAAATCACGCACATCCTCGCGATTCACGACTCTGCTCGCCGATTGCATTCCGTGAGTACAGAGAGGTCGGTCGGTCGACGAGGAGTCGTCAGACGAAACTCGATTAATCCTAGGAATTGTTTGTAGGATAAACATTATTTATGTATACTAGCGTCGGACAGCCCGGATCAGAATTTAACGCAATACTTCTCGCTGTGCAACGATTTCATTCACTCTGCGCGCCTACGCGGCGGGAACGTCCTGATACATTGGTAGGTAAATCATTAACAATCGACGCGATCAACTTCTTTCCATATGGAAAGTATTTATCGGACGATATTCGATATTTCAGTTTAGCGGGTATGTCGAGAAGCGTTACAGTGGCGGTGGCCTATATTATGAGTACCACCAATCTCTCGTGGAAAGAGGCTCTCAAAGTTGTCAGAGTAGGTCGTTCCATCGCCAACCCAAACGTAGGTTTTCAGCAACAGCTGAAAGATTTCGAGACCAGCCGATTGCACGAGGTATTCAAATTAATCGAGATGTTAGATGGAATCTCTCGAGAGAAAACTTTTCCGTTCCTCTCGACAGATTCTATCTAATTGATGTACAAACGATTGAACAGAGGAATTGCTTAGAAATTATGCATTAAATTTATTAATACAGTAGGACCTCCGTTATATGAGCTGAAAAATTGGACACGTGCACATGAATTTCAATATGACAAAACAAGTGTTTAGATATAATAAAGAAAGTCAAGTAAAATGAGTGAATTTTGTCTGTAGATAAATTTTGAGATAACGAGATGTTTAAATGATTTAATAATAAGCAAGGGAATTTGCACGCGTTATTATAATAAGGAATGCTGTTCATATGATAGAACGTTCAGACAATGGGTGTTCGTATAACGTAGGTCCGACTGGAATTATTCCGCTGGAAATTATTTTGGCGATTTTTTTTCAATTAACTCAGGAACGGCGTAGATTGAAAGAGCGATTCCCGAGCTTGGCACTCGCGGAATCCGATGCAGAAGTGTGCCGCTCCACTTTAAGAAATTACGAAACCATGGCACTGGCACGAGAAGTGTGCGAAGGGAAATGTGCCATGGGCCGTCCTTGCCCGACCGGGCTGTGCAGGCAACCTTCCAAAAGGTTTGTTAGTTCTTTCTGCTATCTTGACTGATTTCAAACTTCTTTGTCGGGCGATTGATTATACACGCTAGTTTATATCTCGCCACCGAGTAAAAGAAATAAACTAGGATCGATGGTCTGGGTAAGATCGACTCAATGCCGTTTTTTGCCAGAAGTCCGAGGAGGAAAGCGTCGACGAGTAGTACCAGCAGTTTGAACACCGGCAGGACGCCTCCGCAGACTCCGAGGATGTTACCGTCCGCCCCTCCGTCACCTGCCATGCAGAGATCAGCCAGCGTGCTTTCGACGGCTAGGCCGAGAAGCGGTCCCGCTGGTTTGCATTATTACACGGGATCCGCACCTCCTTCTAGGTACCATTCTCTCTTTACATACAGATAAATTAACCCCTTGAACGACAATTTATTTTTAGTCAGCATTTGAAAAAGAGGAAAGTTTATGACGAGCTGGACTCGTCATTTCCGTTCAAGGGGTTAAAAGGATCGCCGAGATACGAACAGCAAGTCAATTTATATTGGAGTAATCATTTTTTCTATGCTCCTTTTTCAGGGCAGTGTCGAGGGTCGATTTATCAGCGGCCGTGGCTTGCAGCAGTAGCAGCACGAACCTGACATCGATAGGTAGATCAGGTTTGTGCAGCAGCAACTGGAGACTCGCGGCTGGATCCGCGCCGAACACGCCTAGACCGACGCCGCCGGTTTCCCCGCAACGCTGGCCGAGGCGAGTGTCCACTCGGCAAACGCCACCTTTGCCGATCTCGCCGGAGACACCGACGACGACGTAGCGTTTAAGGAACTACGCTTCGTTCACGACTTTGCCAGAGTAAGGAGCAAGGACGGACCTCGTCGCTCAATCGTCGGTCGCAAGGACGAATAAAATTCGGAGCGTAGGTAGGAACGCGGATTCTCGGTAACGAAGCAAAAGCTTGAGTTCTTTTAACAGAGTCTTTCATCAAATTGCACAGCCACGAATAAATGCAATGACGTATACATTCGGTTGAAGCGGAAGCGCGTCGAGTCAAATCGTTTCTACTTAAAACCAATCGACCACAGCGAAGAGACTAATGAAAAGATTTATTAGAAATAATTCGAAAGTTCGACACGCGTCTACGTATATTGTTTGTATAATAAATTAGCGGCCAGAGGGAGACGCGGGAGGGATGTTGCCATGCATGTCGGAGTGCATCATCTATCAATTTAATCGTTGTTAACGTCACGCGCATTACCGCACAACGTGTATACTTTTCTCTGGCTGAAAGCGAAATCAGATTTCATGGCTGGCGTACAATTATTTATAAACGATCGCACATTATATTACATATATGTATATTGAAACCATGATTCAAGCGTTCAGCTGGCTACTCATACGGCACACTAAGCATCTTCGTATCAGGCATTACGTGTATTAAATCCAATAACGTTTTCGTATTTTATATTTGGATACATTTGGGCTGCGGATTTCTATACATTTATAAAAAACGAAATTCATTTTCCAACAGAATATTTTAGGTATTTGATTTTGCATAGAAATCGGCAGTCGGAATGAATGGTGCAAAAATTAGGTATCAAAAGATGCATCGTGCTGCATTACCAAACGATACGTACGAAGGTACACGTAACATAAGAATGTCCAGGTTTAAACGATGTTACAGAATGGAGCAGCCAAATGGGATCACGTGACTACGTCCCTAATTTACTATTTTATAAAAAATAATTCTCAGAACGAAATTACAACATTTATATTAATATATAAATAATTTTATCTCAAGTTTGCATTAATGGTCAGATTTTTTTTAAATAGAATCCTATATCTTTTCAATGATCTCAATAACCATTCATTTAATCTCTGATATTGTAAATACTATGAATATATTTTTGCTCTGAGAAGAATTTTTATACAGTATTAAATAAGGATAAGTTGGTCCCATTTTGGTACTCCAGTTCTCGAAAAAGCGCGTGATGGCGATCACCGACAATCTTGCAAACCGATTCTACAACTCGTGTTAATTAATGTTTTTTTAAGGCGTACAATATGAAAGTTGCGACGAACAGTACTACGAAGAGTAATCGATCAATTGCGCAGTCCAAGCAAAATATCATTTAGAAATTAATCTTGTATAAAGAAAAAAAAAGATCGTTAACTCGTAGAGGTATGTTGATCACTTTCCTCAAGAGTATCGTTTAAGAAGCAAGAACACGTAGAGTTCGTTGTCGCGTACACAGAAAATCGTTGCATCCAAAGGAAATGCATTTAACTCTAAATTAAATCGCGTCGATTGACTATATTTTTCTAGACTCATTCACCTGTACGAGTCGACGAGTTGAATTTTTCGTATAAAGCATTTCGCGAGTCATTAGGAATTCACTTGGCATCAGAGCTTAATCGCGATGTTTGTTGTCCGCGTTTAGAATATCCTGACGACGCGATTCGCAAGATTCCAGAAAAAGAGTAGCGCGATCGTGGATACATTTTAAGAGAGAAGAACTACGAGAAGAACGCTAGCCACTGTTCCTCGAATCGTTCCATTCTGTTTGTTCACAACCGTCCATTGCAGTTGTTGGATTTCTAGCTAAAACCACGCTGTTTAGTGCAACTTGTTAATATTAAACAGAGCATATATACGCCTAAATATACATATATATTTAAAAGGGTGTATACACGAGGTCGTTTTATGCACACGTGGTCAAGTACGAAACGAGCTAACCTCAGATTAATACTAACAATTGTTTAGAGTTTCTCATTGATTTACTGGAATGTTAATACGAGGTATACTTTTCTATGGAATAGGAACAGCGCAGGAGATAAATATGTAAATTTTACTCGGTGTGTGTCTAACCTCTGGGAACTTGCAACGTGTGCATAAAATCGTCGTTACACATCTTGTATGCATACATACGTGTACACTCTGTGTAGGCATACGTTGTTGCAATGGGATTTCAGAAAATTTTATAAACTTGTTGGCAATGGTGATTATTATGCGACTAAGTAAGTCGTAGACTAGGTAGACAAGTTGTTATCGTTTCGTGCACGAGCGTACGATCCACGAGTGAGAGAGGAACCAAAGAATATCCAAGCGATATCTGTAATATCATTCTTCCTATCGTCGAAACATAATTCGCATGATAGAAACAGTTATTTTTCTAGAATCACACGGTTTACCATTAGGCTAAATGGGGGTATCGATTTTAGGGTTTAGAATAGAGAATAAAACCGCGGAGCGACTCGTTTCATTCGACTTTATAGCGTTACTCGTAGAAAATGACTTTAACAATTCGTTGTTAAACTCGTTTTCTTAATAGAAAAACTGTACTCCTTTGGATAATATGATCGAGCCTGCCTCAAATGATTAAAATTAATCTAATCCTCGCCGTAATACGTGTTTGTTACCCGGTTGTTATGATCGTCGCAATTAGATAGGCCGTGCGTTCAAGCAATAATCTAGAGATTTCAAAGCGATCGTGACCGATTCTACTGATCGGTCTACGGGCTAGTTAATATTTACGCGAGTTATTCAAACGAGTACGGACGATGTTGAAAATTCATAAGATATTTTTTATATACTTGTTGTTTTCAAGATTCTGCTCGACGACGACATATCGCTGTTACATCAATTAAATATATATATACATATATATTACATACATGTAATGCAGGCATGTCAAACACGCGGCC